CACACACACAAAGATGCACAACCACAAGTGACTGTACATACACATGCTTGTGTTTCGCACCCACAGAGAAAACAATTACTGCTAGAGCCAATCAATTACAACTAGACAATTAGTGTTCCCCACAGGACTTACAGTGTGAGCACAGAACACACACTATAATGTCTCAGTGACAGAGAGACACAGAAGGTCCCAAGGAGACAAAGGAGAATTTGGTGAGCGAGGAAAGAGGGAGAGAAAAGCTGAAATAAAATGTGTAAACAGTCAGAGAGGGCGGATTAAAAGATTAAGAATTAACATAAGAAAACAAAACCACTGAGGCTCAACTGTTCAGTAAAACTGTCAAAAAAGGCCTAAAGTACAAATATGAGCAGAGAGAACATCTGTAACATCTGCTCCAATCTGGGATTGTTTCTTTAGCTGCATGATTATCAGCAATGTGACACACTGGCCACACTCATTCACTTATAACCTCCTGTTTTATTAATGTCTGTGTTTACATTGATTCGTATCATCAATCAAATAATCCCATGATCTCATCTCTCCTTATAGCACTTCTTTAATTGTGCTCTATCAATAAGATGACTTCACTGTAGAGATGTTCAGCACAGTTTCATAATTTCATGCTTGAGGCCTGCGTAAGAAATGAAAGTGATTTTGATGTGATTTTTGATCAGTAAACTCATGATTGTCACTGTTCTTTGATGAAATACATTGATGTATGACTCATAACTTACATCATCGTCCAGGTCGTCTTCAGGCGAGGAATCGTCCTTGGCGTCGTTGTTCACGTTGGGGTCATAAGTCAAGGTCCTGCCATTGCAGTCCCCATACTCCGCTACTATGGAAGGCAAGAGAGTAGACGCCTGCAGCAGCTCCAAGCCCGGCTGTAATCTGTTGTTTCCCCCGGCCTCCCCCGTTTCTTCCCCTCCATCTTCCTCCTCTCCTCCCTCACCGGACAACAGGCTCTCCCTCTCTCCGCTGGTGTCTCGCCTTTTGAGGCTCGGCGCTCTTCCCAGGCTGTTCCAGCTGGAGCGGCGGCTTCCCCAGGAGCTGCCGGACCCACGGGGAGGGAGAGGGGAACGCCGTCCAGGACTTGAGAGGCTCTGGAGAGACGGGTAACAGGGGTGAGCACAGCATGTGGCTATAAAAATGTGTGTTAAAGTAGTCTCAAGATGGACACCGGGCTGTTGTTGAGTATCAGAAGTTTTTTAAAATAGTTAGAGGTTTTAGATTCTCCTTCATGGTAGTGGATCGATGATTGAAACCCTTGAGAAGAGGATGTTATGTTCACACTTCTGAAGCCGAGGTAAGTCTGCTCTATAACTGGATTTGCTGGGGAGCAGCTCTTGAATTGAAGTACTGTGATAGTTTTTTAGATACTATTCCTAGAGGAAAGTGGGTTGTCACAAACTATATATATTATATTCTCTCAAAAAATGTTATTATTTGGAACCTATTAATATCAAAAACTAATTGGTTTGGAAATTAACTGATGAAGAAGTCTGGGATTATTGTTTTTTTTCCATTTACTGTCTGATAAAGCTCACCAATGAACGCTGGTCATATGCTAATGGGTCCATGGAGGTGGAGCTCCCACGACGAGATTCTGCATGACCAGCTTCCGTCTCAGGAAACCCCAGTCCCACCTCGCCATATCGAGGCATCCCCACGAGCTCATCCCCGAGGATGGAGTCAGGTCCCAGGGAGCTCTTGGGGGTGGGCATGGGTGTGGCTGCCGTTCGCATGATTATAGGAGGAGCCATCGAGCCGCGAGGGTCAACATGACCATTAGCTGTCATCATCAGGGAGTACATCTTTAGCTCTGTGTAGGAGAAGAAGCCCTTAAGTCTTTACTATCATATTTTATTCAAAAACAGTCCCTTATGAATTCAGATGAATGTAATATAACCTACCAGTGTCTCTGAGCTGTTCTACCTTTTCGTCCTCCTCAAAGTTGTCCGATTTCTTCTCATCGTCTGACTCCGACCTGTTTGCATCACCCTACAATACACACAGATTCATGCAAATAAGCATTTCTCTCTGCATTTCTGCAGAGTTAACCATCGTGGAGATGATTACAGGTGCAACGATTTTCATGCATGAAGGCGCTGTGCAGCTGGGCCACAGGCGATAACAGTGCTGGATCATGAAGAATTGATTATTTGAAATTGCCAGTGGGTGTGTTCGGGGCTGGTGGTATTTTTCATCCTCTCCTCCTCTTTAAAAGCAGTGGTGCTTTGCATAATGTGACAGTTTGATTAGGGTTCAGACTTGCGACCCTCAGATGGCTCCAATGGGAGTTAATTAACAGCAAGTCAAGGTCTGCATACGGCATGAATACACACAGCTGAGGGATGCTGTTAAGAATTAGATTAGTGTTATAATCAGTCTAATGGTTAGAGAATATCTCCAAAAGTAAAGCACATGTGCAAATGGTGAAATGAGCATCTGGGAAAAGTCGATGCACAAATTCCATCACCTAGAATTTGAGTGCAACAAATGCTGTGTTGATCTGATCCAAGTGGTGGAGGCATAAATTGATGGTATAATGTATTATTGACAACATAATGAAACGCGCTACAGGATTACTACAAAGATGGACAACGCGTGATAATTTGAACCTGTTAAGTTTAGACCACATCAAGATTTATGACCTATACTACGGCCAGACACCAGGTGGTGATTGAGAGGTTTTGGCTTCACTTTTACTTGTGATTTAATGAAAAATGAAAATATCTTGTGGTCATGTGATAAATGAAAATCCTACGTCTTTAAACTGTGTTTGTAAAAGACAAAGAATAAAAAATAAAGGACAATTAATGGGACTCTTTACTCGTCTTTTGGCCTTACAGCTGCATGTTGAAAATTAAGCATAACAACAAATCAAAAGACTCTGATCTGATATGATGAGCAGAAATCAACAAAGTCCTCCTCACCTCAGCCTGGAAGCCCTCGACCAGGATGGCCACCAGCAAATTGAAGAGCACGTAGTTACCAAATGTCATGAGAGCGACAAAGTAAAGGGCCGCCCATGGAGAGGTAGAGGCCATGCCATTATACAACACCACATTCCAGTCCTCCTGGGTAAGAATCTGTCGAATGAAACAACATCATGAGCGAGCGGGCATAAAGACGTGTGGGGGGGGGGACAGGAGGTTAAAGGGAGGACAAGAAAAAGAGAATGTGAGACGGATGGAAAAGTAATGAAAGAAATGGAGCGATATCAGCCTTTACTGCGCTTGTGGGATGTATATGCTTTATAAAAACCCACGACTGAGCTACTTTTATTGCCATCTTTGCACAATGCTTCAAACACAAGGGACTCGTATTCCTTGACATGCAACGTGCACTGTATGTGTGTGTGTGTGTGTGTCCGTGCCTAAATCAATGTGAGTGATGGAAGCATCTAAAGGCAGGACAGTGTTCATGATGCAGCAGGAACACTCACTGCCCACTCACGCTGTGGCAGGAAGGCCATCATTGTGCCGTCTGGGTGAATGTGTGTATTTACATATGTGTGGTTTGAGTGTACTGCAACCGCCCCCCCTGAAAAAAAAAAACAATATAGGAAATATATATATAGTTTGTGCTACCCCCTCATATGACAGTCAAGTTTGGATAAAATGCCTCTTCAGCATCTTAAGTAAGACAGTCCGCTGCGTTCTGTGCTCTACCTTTCCGCTGACACATCCAGTTTAGAAAAGAGGACAATCTACTGTATTGAACAATATCTCCACATGAGCAGAGCAAAAAATTGTAGTGAAAGAGAAAAGAGAGGGGGGGGGGGTATGCATAAGCAGAATTTCTCATTGCACTGCAGTTGACTAATGAGCAGCGCTTGGCAGTTAAGTTTGGCTCACACAAATACACACATTCACGTAAACACACTCAGAGTTTGACATTTTGATTTGAGATGGCAAAGAAGCACACACATGGTCGAAGCAGGGGCAAAAATATAAGTGCACGCACACTGTGCAGTGTATTTCTAGCAACTATAGTGAACTAAGGATATGATCTTTAAGTTATGGAGACGAGAACTTACCTGGAATACGGTGACAATGGCCCAAAGTAAAGAGTCAAAGTTCTTGCGGTCGGGGATCGTGTCTCCATCTTCCGTTTGGTCACTAAATTTACAACCGAACAGATGCATACCCAGTATACTGCAGGGAAGTGAGAACAACACAGACATTAGGAAATTATATTGATGCAACAATATAAGACAAAATATACATTTTCAAGATTCAAGATGTTACGTGTTGTGAGCGCACACCTGAATGTGAAGATGAAAAGCATCAGCAGCATGCAGAAGGTGGCCACGTTATCCATGGTCTTCATCAGCACCACCAGTTGTCTCCTTAGGGCGGGCAGGAAGCGAACCAGCTTCAGAACCCGCAGCAGACGAAACGTTCGCAGGACTGACAGCCCGCCGTCTGCCTGGCCAATGATTTCCCACACGCTGAGAACACACAAAAAAAACCCCCAAACTTTTAAACTTTAAAATGTAATTGAGTGTAGTTTGCAAAATGGACGCTGATCTGACACACGGTTCGTTCGATAGTAGGAATCAGGAGTGATATAGTTTAACAGGTCTAACGGCTCCAGTGAGAGAAGCATGAACTAACAAATGCAAAGATAAGAACGGGTGGGGTTAATATTACCTGATGATAACGATGATGCTATCGAATATGTTGTACGGGTTCCTGATGTACCCGAACAAGCCAAACGCCAGCAGCATGAAGCCCATCTCCAACACGAACATACTGGTGAAGACGATGTTACTGATCTCCAACACATCAGTCAACTCCTCGGGCTGGAGGGACGGAAGGAAAAAAGTAAATAAGAGAATGACGAGAAAAAAGGCTCAAAGAAAGAAACAAAGACAACCGACGAAATACAGAACAGGTCAATAAATATCTCCAATCTATTATCCAAGAACTGTAAAATCCCTTTTAGCCTTTGTGCCCTGAGCAGAGACGGTTATCAATCAAGTTCAGAGCTCTAGTCAGGGCCAATCAATCAAATGGGCACAACTGCGGCCATCTATCACTGCTGACCCACTCCACTTACCTCACAGCACAGTCAGTGATTTAACCGAGACCCCCACGTAAAGCAGGTAGCTCAGTCTCAACCCTGCAATTTTGTGCTCTAGTAAATGCATCATGGGGTCGCGACCCCTTTGGCTTGAGCTGATTCAGTGCAATAATGATGCTATAGTGGCAGAGTGTTTCTGATCCGCTCAAGTAAATCAAAGCAGAATTGGCCAGTAAGTGTAAGAGAATTAGTAAAAACGTATTGAACTGACATGTATCATGTGTTTCTGTATGTGGATTTCCAAGATGTCCACCATTTGCTAAACCTCATATCACCCTCCTGCACACCCAGACGTGTCCTTTGCTGACACTCTCTGTACTTATACATAATATTCTCCTTTCTCTCCCTTACTCCTTTAAACAGCACGACGATTCCTTAGTATTAGTATTCACACTTAATGAATAATTATGATTCCCAGACGACTGAATCATCCGAAACCGCAAAAAATATTTTATTCTGCCAATCAGTTTTTAATTCAACGATGCAAAGTCATTAAAACATTTTTTTTTCTTCATCTGGGGGATCAACAAGGCCCAAAGCCCATTTCATATCCAGGACCATGGTGTATTAAATCAGATGGATCATATTCTGGATTAATTAACACACTGCTGTGATTAATGTGAAATAAAACAATCCCATACATCCCTCTGCTAGCACGGACAGGTTAAGATCAGCGTTAGATTTTTCTTTTGTGATAAGTTAGAAAAAGCCTTTTGCACCTTGAATGATTAACAAATGAAAATCTGCTGTGGCACTGGAAAAAAAGGGGCAATTGTTCTGATGCGCTCAGGTTTACACTGAAGGTCGAAACACACAGAGGAGTTCACCTTCATCCTGGGTTCTTCTAACTCTGTCAGCCTCAGTGATCGTGTATAAGTACATTATGTGAAACGTCAAACTCTAATTATAATCATCCATACATGCACATTTATTATTCTGTGATTGGTGGAAGTAACAAAAGCTCTCTATATAAAAGTGTAAATACGGATTTGAAACGTAAATTATCAACTGATTTGATGAATTTAGAGCCGATGTCACTGATCGACTGTTTGGCTCTCGACTGTCAGTGGTTGTGGTTTTTGATTGGCGTACTGGCAGAAATAACAAGAGTCGTGCTGCTGTAAAGGATAAATGTCTGTTGGGTGTCCTCAGCGATGAATGAAACATGGTATAAAGTATCACAGCCCGATCGATCAGCAACACAACAATGTCCGTCAGGTTGATCGTATCGATTGATGATTTATCCATTTGAAAACATTTGATCTCTTCCATCATTAACTTGGAAGCATTTTCATCACTTCTGCTTTTTTTCTTGAGCTCATCCTTGAGGCCACTTTCCTGAAATGATAAATGACAATTTGAAAAATGAACCTAAGACAGAAAATGATGAAGCGCGTCTCTGTTTTCGTCATATCACCTCCGTATTAATCAAATCGCTTGATAATTCATCACTCCACTTTTCATCACACCTCCACTTTTACTGGCTCCGTTTCGCAAATTCACATGAATTTTCATCACCTCTATTTTTATCTGTTAATTTGTGTGACTTCCTCCCCTCATATGATTCCTCCAGTTTGCATTATCAAACACTTATATAATACTTTCATAACCCAGTCAGGACACTGCTGCTTCAGCCGAGGATCATGATGGGAGTCGCTGATAGAGGGCGCCACACTACACAGCTACACCTCAAACACAGAGACAGAGTTTTTACACCCACCTTTATTGTCCCCGGTACAAAAATCTTATTATGTCCTTATTTTACTTTTATTCTTTAAATGTCTATAACTACACTTTATTATGATGTGTAAATCTGTATGCATGTGTGTAGATATCTAATGGTTACACCTAACAGTGATGTCACAGTGTACTGACATTTCTACATCACTAAAAACAGGGAACACATTTCAAACACTTGAGGTTAACAAACTTTGTTTTCCTACTGAGTGATGGAGTCCTAACAGGGTTTCCTGCCAAAATCTGAAATGTTTCGCAGACAAGCGATTGCTTTGTTTTGGATTTTTTGGTTTATTTTTGGGTTAGGGTTAGGGTTAACCCGTTTTTCCAAACAATCAAATTAAATCCCTTAATAAGATATGTTATATCATATCATATCATAAATATACTTTTATTCACCTAAAAGGTTGAATGCAGACATGTACCTGTAAGTGAGTATTTTTACATTGTGTTGTAATGTAATGGGTTTTCTTGTGAGGTGCAGATAAAGTGAAACAAAAGCAAAACCACATCTCTGTTTTTGGATGTTTTACTATTTTTGGCTCATGAGCTTTTGAATTAATTGGGACGGTGGTGAAGCAGACAGGGCTGTGCAGGAACAACAGGAGACAGATGTAACGTCAGGGGACTCAACCTGTCATGTTGTGGAAAAGAAGCCGTGCACACAGAGTATATAGAGACTATGTGTTTGGTGCCCTGGCTGTTTGGTTTTAACTGTGTCTCACTTCCCAGACGGGCACCACATAAAAACTTTAAAGCACTTCAACAAAGCTTTAAAAGAGCTCTCAACCTAAACACACACAACGTTCAGACTCGCACACAGGACATTATTATCCACCGGTGGACTACAGTGGCATTTTCATTACCTCTGTGAACAACCGTCTTCACAGCATACGTTGCAGAGCATACATTTTTAATGCCTCATAGCGGGACAAATTTATCTGTACTTTACACTGTGGCTGACACAGTATGTTAAAACAAGACGAAACAAAATGCAGTAATAGCTGGAGGGCACAAACCTGGGAGCTGAAGGTTTGAAGTGCTAAAAAGAAAAAAAGAGAAAACGGAGGAGGAACTGGCACGGACCAAATGTGAATTCTGGTTCTGGCTGATGCACAAGAGGTTGGGAGGAAGCACGAGCTGCTTTGAGGATGACAGGAGCAAAATAAAAATAAAAACTCATCCCTGCATCTCACCCTCATCCAGCTTACAGGAGAAGAGTTAGTTTACCATGATGATAAGTGAGTGGTTTCAAAATAAGCTCTCAACCACAGACTGTGTGTAAAGACGGACGACGTGACGACTCCCCCTGAATGGTTTCTGTCATTTTGGGTAGTTTTTAATCACACTGATGTATTTCCAAGTGTTTTCTGTTTTTTTAATTCTTTTATTGATCTTATAAAAACTAGGTGAGATGTCACGATTGACAGCTGACTCATGATTGGTGGATACCCCCGACTCCATCCCTCAATAGGTACTGCACAGACTCGAGCTTTGAATGCGTATCTGAGATATTTTGGCTTCAGTTCTGGTCGGTAGTATTTGTTTTGTCCATCCTTATACACGGCGGATGTACTAATCTGCCACAGTCTTAAGTTATTATTCAAAACTACGGCTTTAGACATGACTTTTAAATACAAGTTCTCCGCCCCGGAGATGATGCCGCCTCTGTTTGTGCCTGTATAAAGCTCTGCAAGTGACCTTGCTTATACATTTATGAGATAAGAAACTACAACTTAAAAAATGTTCTCTGGCAAAGCAGAATAAAATATCATCGCTTTATGTAACGACACGAGGCCCGTGAAGTCAAAGACAGTTTACAATCTGATCCGAGTGGCCAGAAAACTTGGTCTAAATCAATTTGCCTACATCACTTCACATGTGGGCTTTTACTTCAGCGCAGATCTGATGACAAATGTTCTATTTCCCAATCTGGAGTCGGTGTAAACGCAGCCAAAACAGGCATCAAACCTCTCGCTCCTTCTCTCTGAACTCGCTCACAGGCTCCACTATGCCTCCCACATTCATACACTCGTTCACACGTTCACACACACACACACACACTCAGTCTCATAAAGTTTGGCTAGGTGTCACCAAAAGGGAATGATGAGTACCGAAGGGAGGAGGAACTCTTACGTAACACTTCAGTCTCTCTCTGTCCGTATACGAGTGTGTGTTATTGGCCCAATAAGGCCATGGCTCTCCCAGTCATCCCCTATGTTTATACCACAAAGATAGAAACACACACACAGACGGACACATTCCCTGGGGAGTGAATTAAAGGGGAGAGGGGGGCAAGGAGAGCTGGAGAGACGAGGGGAGGGACTGAACTTTGCACATACAAGAATCTTCTCTTTGGGTTTTTATACGTTTGCTTTTCTGGTGGGAAATCATCATTATTATCATTATTATTATTATTATCATTATTATTACTTCCCACATGTTGGCCACACGAGGAAAAACTCGAAACACAAACCTACACACAGAGTGTGTGACAGGCTCTCGGTGGCTATTTGTGTGGAAGTGTGTGAGAAACTGAGAGAGAGCAACTCCTCCCCCTTTGTTCCCTTCTCCCTCCCTATTTCCTCTCATCTTAATTCTCCACCAGCCAAATGCCATTTTCACCCACAATAATAACTGTACTGGTCGTACTGGTTGGGCAGCTTTCCAAAGAATAGACAAATAGAGAAAAAATATTTCTGCTCATTTCCTGATGAACCATTGATCTAATCTGGTTAGAGGTTTTATTCAATCCTGTGCAAAGTGTGTCCTACCTGCTCGTGGTACTCTATCCCCATGCTGAGGGTGTTGATGAGGATAGCGATCATGATCCCCCGATTGAAGTATTTACTTTCCACGATCCTCTTCAGCTTCTCCCTGAAGTTTACCCAGGCTCCGACCACTCCGTTTTTGTACTCCACCACCCCCCGCCGCCTGCTTCGACCTCTTCCACCTCTCAGATCTCCACCCTGGAGGAAAAGACGGATGAGTCATTTGAAAAGAGGCCGAAATTGTGAAAATAACAATAATGTCTAGATTTTAGATTTATTATATGGCTGTAGTTATAGACAGTATCCAAAATAATCACAAAGAGCAGAATTACTGCCATACGGTTGTATGCATCTGTGAACATGTTGCAGCTTTATCAGCAAGAGTGGGATGGATGGACAGAAGGACAGATGGACAACCTGTCCTCTGCTTACGATGCTGATCAAATTGATTTTATTTCGTTGTTTATCTGCTGTTTTTTGTTTTTTTTACACCTACAAAGTGGCGGCCACCTTCATTAACACCAATTCACCACTTTCACAAGTTTTCTTATCGGTGTTGAAGTCATCATTAGAGCCCTGCAGTCGGTTCTGACCTGGGGGAAGTCGTGCAGTCCGTCCGCCTCTCCTCGGCCTCCCTCCAGGTCTCCCAGCTCCAGCTCTAAGGTCTCCAGGCTGCGAGCACACAAAGGGCAGCTGAGCAGCTCCAGGAGCAGGGGGCTGGGCACCACGCCCGCCAGCTGGTACAACAGCCTCTGGCGACCTGAGTAAGGGAAACGATGGAGATGGTCAGATGTCACATCCAAATTTATATGTTTTATAACCGAACAAAAAAGCAATTTTGTGATATTGCTCATTTTTTTTTACACTTTCCCTAATTTGCCAAGGAAAATAAAGGGATGATGATAAAGAACAGGCATATTTAGCAGACTTATATCTATAAGTGAGAATAATTTGCTGCTGTATTGCTACTGCAGCGTCCTTTATTTGATTCTACATCCTTTTAGAAAACTGTATATACAACTGCAGATGAAATGTTATTTAACCATTCTTATTGTCAGCTCTGGTTGCACGTAGTCTTAAAGTCCTCCAAAAGAAAACAGGTCAAACTGTACTGACGGAGCCGTATCAGGGAAAAAAGGCCTGATTCACTGCAAAGCACGAGCTCCTGCTTATTAGGCTTATTGCTGCGAGTGCAGGAGGACTTAAGGAAACATATTTAAAATCACGGTGCTATTTTAAAGAACACAGCACGATGGAACAGGAAAGAGAAATGTGTAGACAGGAGACATTATGGTTCAGGGATAATGCTGGTATGGTTACGTGTGTTAGAGAAGGGATGTCCTATCTCAGCTGAGAGCCAGTTTCTGCAGTGAGCACTGAGAGCTCGCCCACACCGCCAGATCCTGGCTGACTCCTCTCACCCTCTGTTCTCTGACTACATCCTCTTAAAATCAGCGTGGAGGAACTGCAACGCACGGCTGAAACCCAACAGAGACAAAACGCAGCTTCAAGCGGCAAATCAGGTTGTTTACAACACTTTCTAAAAATGTGGTGAGAGCTGTCGTCATATTCTGATGTGTTTGTAATTTCTTGAATAAATCTCCATGTCAGTCGGAGCATTTTGACTCTTGACAGGTTGTCGGTATCTGCGCAATTTTTCAAGAGGTTTTTCAAATTCAACTCAATGCCACATTACTCTTAAAGGCACATATATTCATAGGTGTGCTCAAGTTCTGGTCTTCACAACTAACTTTAATTATAATAATGATTTTATAATGTTTTATTCAATGATTGTTTTAACATTTGCAATTTAATGTATATCTAATTTCCTGTTGTTTCCACTTAGCAAAACAAACAGAAATGCCCAGAGGTGACATTTCCACATTTAGACTTTCTGTCAAATGCAATTCAATTAAAACTGTGCAATCGTCAACACACATTGGAAGCAGAGGAAGAGTTGCACTCACTCTCCAAAGAATTCATATTGACTGCGTTCCGGTCAGAGGTGTATCGACTGTTTGAACACGTTCACACTCGTTTCTTTAGCCTTTTTCTTGGCGCTCTTCCTCATCTCTGTCTTTTCTGTATTTATCGCACTTCACACACTCTTCACTCCAGCAAGGGACTAATTCATGTGCACTTAATTATGTTTGGAGTGTTGAGAGCCAGCTGTGTGTGAATGAGTGCGTGGTGCAATATTGTTGGCAACAGCAGCAAAGTTGGAAGAAGTCAGATCTCCATGACTGGCTTATACTGTAGGTCTAGGTGCTATATAAATACAGTGAAATGAACAAAATGCTTAATTCATGGAGGAATGCACAAAAACTAATTTAAAAAGAGCCGTCATGACATCTGTTACTCAATGATGTCACAAAGTTACCGCCCTCGGCCAGTCTCTTCAGCTGTTTTAACTTTATAACCATGAACAACACGCAGTTGTCATTTTGTCGCTGAGCTTCAAAAGTGACAAGACAGAAAACTGTCAATGAAACCCTGACATTTTGATTGGCATTTCACTGACATATATATATCGACTTATGTCAGGGAGCCAATATGTCATTGCACAGTCTTCCCAAGGGCAATAATATTAGAGACCACAGGGGAAGAGACACGTCCATTTCAAACGATCGCTGTAACCGTCACTGTCCACATACATTCATGTATCCTTTATGCTAGCATGGTTGTTAAGCAACACATCAACAAGAGGGGAGGAGGTTTATGACGTGGAGGAGGTTTCTCTAGTTTCTCCTCAAAAAGTTGAAATTTCATCCTTGTCTCTTGCGGTCATTTCGCTTGGACTATCGGCTGCACTTGTCCTGCTCCGTTTATCTATTTTGTAAAGACATAAACAAAGACGACCAAATGAACCCAGACTACAGACAGAAGGCTCCGCTCATTTCCATATATGTTTCTAACGTTGAGTAAAATGACCATTTAGTCGAAATTTGTCGTCTGTTCATCTCATTTCAGCACCGCCCGCCCATTGTCGCTCGCATTTACTGGTGAGTTTTATTAAGCTGCAGCAGAGGGATGCATCAGTTAGCTGTGGTTGGCCTCGCTCAGTCAACCAATCAGAACAGAGGCGGAAACAAAATTCACCACTTGAGAGATTTAAAACTATACTGAGCTTCTTTAAACCACAAATATATATATTCTTGTGAATATAAAAACACTGAAACAAAATACCACAGAACCTTTACAACAAAACAGTCAGTTCTTCATATTCACAATAAACACAGCTTCATGTCATGTTCTCTGTCCTTTTCTCTCTCCTTCTTTTCCCTCTGCTCTTTCTCTGAACAGATGTGATTAATGTCTCTCCACGTCGGCCTCCCTCTGGAATCTTTCATACTTTGAGCGTCTCCTCTCAACTCCATCTGTTTCTTCTTTTATCTTCCACATTGTTGAAAAATACCAAAGCACACCTGTGATTTTCTTTATTTTTACCCTGCACTGGCTGCTTTTCCCCCAAACGTGCTGATTCCTCCCCTTCATCCACCTCTCTGGATACATGACTGTAACACTTGAGTCATGGATTTCCTGTCAGTCCTCTCTAAGTGCTGCTTGAGACACAGTCACAGGCAACCTCAGGTCAAACTGAGGAAGAGGACAGAGGAACTGGCAGAAAGAAAGAGCGAGAACTGAGAATGAAAAGGTGAGTGTGATAACAAAGATGGAGCCCAGGGGAAAACATCTCGTATAGAATGTGAAGAAAATTAGAGGTTTGTGAAACTGATGAAGAAAAAGGAGAGAACAAGACAGCAGAATCTAAATGTCCACAGTTTAACAGAGTTTTTAAGACACACACACACACACTTACTGTGTTGTCCCATGAGCTTGTAGAGCTTGTTCAGCGTCTCCGTGTGTTCAGACGTGGGGTGATTCGTCGGGTGCTGCTCTGGGCTCGGCCTGCACTGCTGGGAGTGAGGCGGCGGCGTCTTACTGCTGTAGCTGCACACAAAAGACGGCAGGATGGTCGGGTAGTTCATCCCACCGTTCAGTCGCCCGAGCAACACCCCCATGCCAGGGCTGACGACAGACGGGTTGGCGCCGCTACCACCGCTGTTATTTTCATTTGTACTTCCTCTCCGCACAGGAAGCGACTTCATCTCAAGCTCCTCCCCTCCTCCCTCTCGGTCCACGTGCTCAGCAGTTCCCACGCTGATGGTGTGCTGCCCACCGTTGCTGAGGCGACAGTGCTGGTGCTGATGGTGCTGCAGGAGGTTATGGATCGGCCTCAGCCACAATGCGCTATTTGGGCCCGATCCGCCACAGCCCCTGCTGGAACCGTGGCCATGTCCATTACCCCCGCCGTTACTGCCGCCACCGCCTCCATTAGGATTCACCTTTTTGCGCCGTTTACTGGTCAAAGGACAAGAGACATAAACAGAGAAGGTATTACTTCCAGGTGTGTGTTTTTGTGATTACATCTGAATGCTCAAGAAATGCAGCTCTCAACCATTTTGGAGGCCGAGCTCCATCAAATTCTGTCAGATACTAAATGAAATTCTTATAACAGAACATATTAAGTTTCTTCAAATGTTAAGTAGACACACGAGGAACTGCTGAGCAAATAATCTGAATGAAGAAAGTTGTTAAATATTTATTCAGTCACTCTCGTTACCGAGAATCTAAATGTGTGTGAAATCTTCACATCCACAGCAGCAGAGGTAGAGCAGCAGAGGTAGAGACGTAAAAACTGGATATTATTGGTTTTCAACTGATTTAACATTTATTTTAACATTGACGAAAGATGTTTTAGAAAATTGAAAGCTTCTTCTCTTGAGTTGTATGATGGAGGGTCATATAGAAGGGAAAAAAAGAAGCTCATCTCTAACCTGTGCCACCCAGAGTATATCCTCTGCAGCCTGCGTGTGAACTTGCGATACAGGTGACTGATGTAGCGTAGCATCTCCTCGTAGCATGAGCCGGGCTCGCTGTAACTGGCGAGCGTGGAGTCGTTGGACATGTAGCGCGCGCGCTGCTCCCTCATCAGGGCGTTCTCCCTCTGCTTCGTCTCAGAGAACTGGGTGGCTATGACCACGAGGCACAAGTTGATCATGAAGAAAGAGCCCACCTGGATGCAGAGGTAGAGAAAAGTGATAAAACTGCAGCTTTGTAGTGGAGTATTGTATATTATATTTGTAAAAGGAGTATTATGATGCATATTTATTTTTTGCAGCATATCCTGGGATGAAAACTTTTTCATTCGCTTTCATTTCCAAAATGTGAAACTAAATGATAATCTGATGAAATGGCCTTAGCGGTAGGTTAGCAATATCTAATAAATCTGATGAAATGTCTATTTAATATTTCATTAACATGTGTTATTAAAGGAGCAACAGGAAATTAGACAAGCTCCATCTTCTGAAAGAATAATTTCTCTGACATTGTCATTTGTCTTAATCAGTCTCATCCACTTTCCATATGAATCACTTTGTTTTTCTTTCGATCTTTCCTCCAGCCACTCCTCTCTCTCTCTCTCTCTCTCACACTCACACCCCTCCTTCTCTTCCCCCTATTTCTTTTCTCCTGTTGAATGTATAATAAGCACTTTTACACCAAATGACAGCCGGGCAGGGAGCTCAGACAGCATTGCAAAATATAGCCTAGGCTGAGATCTTTGAAAACCCACAACAGCATGATAAGAGTGAAATCGTACACGATAAGAAGCTGACGAGCCTCAGCAGAGGAGAGTTCTGCTCCGAGCAAAGTTTAGTGGATAACTTTAAAAAGGTTATTCCAGGTTTTCTAAAGCAGAACTGACATACAAGTACACAAACATAACTTTCACGAGCAAAGTGTTGTACAAAATACTGCAAACACGGCAGATTTAAGAACTGGTACTTACAATAATGAGCAGTATAAAATATATAAAATTGTAGAAGGAGTGTGCATCCATGACATAGTACATGATATCGACCCATCCTTCCAGTGTGATGACCTGGTGGCAAAGACAAAAAGACACAGAGAGACAAAGAGGGAGATGCTGTATTATAATGAACACAAACCACACATATATATAAATCTGTGCATACAAAATATTCAGAGTACACAGCAGTCAGACGGAAGAGAGCTTGTGGTGCCCCTCCAGCCGCTCTGTGTGTGTGTGTGTGTGTGAGCACTGACGCAGCGCTTTCATGTGGCCACAATGCTAATGAGCAGCTGAGATGATGAGCGGTGGCTCAGCTGAGCCAATAATACGCTCACACCTCAACATTTACACCTCAGCTAGCGTCACACATCACAGCGCCAGAGCACACACAACAATGGCACGAGTACAGACACAGATGCCAACAGACATGAATGTATACCTCTACGGAACACTCAAACACTCAAACACACACACACACACACACACACACACACACACCATGAGACGACTAATCCATTCTTTTCTGGAAAGCTTCTCTTGCACCAGATTGACAAAAGCGCCAAGGATTCTCATTTGTGAGCAAAAGCACACTTCAAAAACATAATCACTGTGCATCTATTTATTCCATGAAAACAGACGGTACACAAGCAGCCATCAAAAAAACCTAATGGCATAAAAATTAACATAACAACAAGGTTAGGAAAAAAAGTCGAGCCAGACCTGTAGGATCATTTTCAGACTTCACACCCTCATTCATAGAGTTAATCACAGGTTGCAATAAAAGTACGAATCGTCTTTATCGCCACAAAATAAAGGAGATTCATTAAAGAACATTTCCTCCTGAGTAAATGTGACTATAAGTCCTGTCGCATGTGTTTGCAGGAGGTTTAGTAAAAAGAGGAGATTCTTAGCTGATTCTTTTCCATCCTGGTTTAGAAGGCGAGAGGCGAGAACCTGAACAAATGACTCTCTGACCCCGAGGCCGACCTCTGCTCCTCACCCAGCTTGAAGATGAGAAAAAGCCACCCGAGCGTTCAGCCTCGTAATTCATGCTAATGTCATGCGTGTGGAGCAGAGAACGTGTTCTCATGTGTCACTGCAGAATGACACATACTTCTGGAATAAGAGGAATTACAGCGAACCTATGACTTGGAGAGTGATGGAGGCTGAACTTGACTTTAGGAAGCTGGAGAAAATGATTTAAACAACCTTCCTTTTCTGGGAACATTAAACCTGACCTTAAACAAAGCTGGCTGCAGCTGGTTACATCTCCACCGACCAATTAGAAGAAATTGCTGAAATCAACGGAGGGATGGAAAGAGGAAACCATCATTCTATATTTTGTGTATTGCCCAGCCCCGGTCGCGACCCGACAGGCACCAAACCTGACATTTTAAAAGCTTGTGGCACTCTGCAGGAGTCGCAGGGTAACCCTGTACTAACTTAATTTGAGGCCATGGGCTGAAATGTTTTTCAGAACCCTGTGCTGAGATGTATTATTCATGTTCTTTATATTTACAGAGGCAGGAGGAATAGAGCAGTAGACTGGGATAACAAGCCTAACACCTCACTCGCAATCCAATAACACATGCTCTTTTTTCAATATACATTCACTCTCTCTCCCTCTGTATCTGTCTCTCTATCACTTTTGTCTTCCTGTCTCATCTTTTCCTCTGTTTCTATCTCTGCTTCCATTTGAAAAAAATACGCTGTAATGTTTTTCAGAGGATAAACAATCCCATCGTATTAGGGCCACGTTGAAAAAAAGAAAACTCTGAGATTATGAAAATCAAGTCGTAATATCACTACATTAAAGTCATACTATTGTCCTGGGTCGAACCCGGGGAAAGCTAATGTCATGCGTGTGGATCAGAGAACGTGTTCTCATGTGTCAAGAACTACATCAAGTAGTTAATAACAGTCGAATGTCAGTGTCACAAGCTGCTGTGAAAAGGACACAACCAAGTTCAGAATACTCTACAAGTCTGATTGTAGTTTATTCCGAGCGTGACCTTGCTCAGAAAATGTTGTTTACTTTGTGGTCTCTTATTCAGACTATTGTCTTCATCAGGTTAATCAGTGTCCAGTTGGGAGTCTGACGCCAAGGATGCTTAGCTTTGTGTTTTGTTTTCCATGTTGTCTCCTTGTGTATTTGCTTTCTACTAACTAGTCTTTCCTTGAGCTCCAGGGTCATCATGTCCGCCATGGCGCCACACAATTCTCCACCACAAAGCCGGCTCATCTCCCCCAGCCTCTAGGTCTCCTCATTCCCCTGCCGAGCCAGTCAGCTCCTCGCCTCGCTCCTTCGCCTGCCAGCCCAGGCTTCATCCTCCGCTCTGCTCTGCCAAATGACATTTCCTTTCCCCCTCAGTCTTTGTCTACTGGAATCCCTTTTCCCATTAGACGCCATCTACTCGAGTGTTGCAACACTTTCTTGGAGTTTCAGGTGTGTTTTTTTTGCATTTGGCTTCAACAGCAAACTTTATATTTATCTTCACCTCCTAAACAATGGCCATTACAATAGATTCAACATTAAAGTGTGTTTGTGAGAAGACTAGAATGGACTAAAACACCAAAACATCTAATCTTTAAAGCCTCTGACACAGGATGAAGTGTCCGTTTGAGTGTGTGTGTTCAGTATTCATGGGGTTCGGGGTATTTTACAGGTACTGCTCTTTATGAAAGACGTGTTGTGTAGTTTTTTTACACACACATCAGCAGGTCCAGGTCAACTCTATTAAAAGAAGGCTGGAATTCGTATCACAGCAGCACAGACAGCGTCACCACAAATACTGGCAGGGTCTCCGAGGGAGTGGCGATCAGCAGGAGGGGGAAAAAGTACAAAATATGTTTGTGTGGAGGAGAAAGCTTTAGGTCATGATACAAGTCCTCTGTGGGCCTGAGTGGAGGAATGTCTGACAGGACGACTTTGACATTTCAATACATGTGAGGTGGAAAATAAATATCCAGGTTTGCCAAACTTCGTTATGACAAAATAAAAGTGAAATTTAAAAATAAAATCTACAAAAGTTCCTCCTAGCTTCCTCATGCTTACCTGGAATATGGCTATCCAGGCGTAGCCAATATTGTCGAAGTTCACAGCTCCTTTGTGAGGGTTGAGGTTCCCTGGTTGACACACATTATAGTACTGGTTCCAGTTAACACAGCCATTAACGCTGACAACCAGAGGGGATGATCCAATCAGAGATGAGCTTTCATGCGGAGCCTTCAGTGAGCATTCGGCCCCACCCTCAGAGTAGTGCGGCACACTTTGGCAGCGCAGCATCCCGTTCTCGCGGGGAGCCGAGCAGATGAATGGGCTGTCCTCACCGTCCTCAGACATGTAGTAGGGATTTATGGACATGTTGTACATTCTGAAGGAAAAAAAGTAGAATTACACCACTGAAGAACATCTCAATAAATGAAACGTCAGTCGTATGTGGCTGATTGATTGGTTAGTACTTTATGTGGTAATCACTAGAAACAAATCTTTTAAACTTAATCTCTACCATTCACAAAATTAATACATTTAACTTTATAGAGGGGAGTTTCTCATTCCGTAAGACAAATATCACTGAATGTGTTTGAGGAATAATTTTAAAAAAAAGTTAACATACGCTTTGCTTCATATTTTGCATTCCAAAGAAAACTACACATCAGAGCAAAACTTGATGTGAACGAGGCATCCGTCGGTATCCATGGTGACAGCTAATATTTCCTACTTATGGAACAGTGTGGGTGAAAATGGTCCATTATAGTTCACCTGCTTATTCATTCTCCACCTCCCTTAAAGTGAAGAGCCCTCCACACCAGTGAGTGTTCCTTTATGCAGAGTGAAGTGTGAGTGGGGAGGGACCAGTTTTTTTTTTTTTTCCCAGACCGTCTGCTGCCTCATTCCTCCAGTGTTCCAGTCTCACCTCTCAGTTCCCCCCTGTACCCTCCAGCGTCATTTTTATTTTTCATCCTGGATGCTGACTCTCCAGCTGCTTTCGCATCTATTACATACCCAGTAGAACTGTTGACATATTATCTATAAATGCGGACTTGATTGTCTGAAGCCTGCACACTGCCAGCACAGAAAGTAATGTTGTTAATCTCCAGGCCCCTGAAGGATTCTGTCGATGGACTTTGTTGAAAGACATTCAGCAGCAGCAGTAGTTATATATCACACTGTACCACTGTAGTCAAAAAGGAATATCATAGAAAATGTGTGAGATGCTGGCTATTCAAAATAAAAAAAATCCTGGTTCCATGAAATATTAAGCTGCTGTTCTCTTTCTCTGATTAGCATTCAGCGACATTAACTCTGGTACAAAACTCCAAGGTTTTCTTGATTATGTTTCTGGCTTAACAAGGTTGTGAACCTTGACAATGTGTTTTTTTCCTTTCCACATGACTAAATTGACGTCTGATGCTCTTTCTCTGTATTAGTGGTTCTATTCATGTTTATCCATTTATGTGTTTATCTCATTCAGAAGATGGTAAAGGTTTGTCACATACATATTTATCTCATTACATTGAATCACAAGACAAAAGATAGGTTACACTGCAATTTGTCCTGAGGCATAGAGGTCAAGTTTTTGTAAAATGTTCAGGATTTACTTTATATAATATTGTGATTAAAAATGACATCATCTAAAAAGAAAAAGAAATTAAATTTCCTAATCTAAGAGTTTTAGAACTGGTGCATTGGACTGCTCTAATTTACAGGCATTTATATGTCAAATAACATTATACTGACACTACATCTACAATCATTACTCTCTCACTTTAACTCATTTGGGTTGAGTTGCAATTTCACGCTGGAGGCACTGCTGGTCACCATGTGGATGTGGAGGACTGAATTTTTCAAAAAGGGTTGATGGTGGACTTGTTTTCTTTTTGAGGGCAAATTAAAATTTCATGTCAATATCTAAGTCCCCTGATGTAGTTTGTGCTTTTCAGTTCTAAACTCAAGGAAAACTGACTTGAATCTGATCCTATTCTCAGTTAACTTCTTCCTCCCATGAATCAAATGAAAAGGAGGAGATGAGGAAGTGTCCTTACCTTATTATGTCCTCTCCCAGGAAGCAGCGGTTGCGCAGAAGTCCTGCCCACAGCTGGACTCCCACAATGCCGAAGATGAAAAAGACAAAGAAGCAGAGGAGGAGGACGTTTCCTAACATGGGCAGAGTGTCCAACAGCAGCGTCACCAGGATCCGCATACCTACATAGTGGGAGACACGGAGTAAAGCTGCAATCAGCAATTATTATTTTGACCAATTCTTCTGTCCCACATGCACAACACACATGTGGGACATCTGGTGGATGCACACCCTGCACACCTCTATTGATCTCAGGAGCTTGGAACCCACAACTTCATGCCGACAGCCAATATAATTACAAGTGATGACAGGACTGAAAGTGACAGTTTGACATTATTTCTTCCTCTGGGATTTGAACTCACAGCTTTCCTGTGGCCACTATTATCTAACCACGTGCGTTCAGCATCCATCTCCATCTTGTCAGATGTGTTTAGCGTCAGCAGAGTCAGGGATCCAGTCCCTGAGGTCCTCACAATGTGTTCTGTCCCCGTTCACATGTATCACAGCCTTGTCACATTGACCACATCACTCACGGTTCTGTAATATCATTCTATAGAAGCAGTATCAGAGATAATATGTAGATTTTTTTTTTTAAATGTCGATCATGACAACAGCGTGTTCACGCCAACATGATGGGTTCACACCAATGACAACCTTCTCTCTAATTTGGAAACAGCTCTTTGTGGCGGCTTCACTGCTCTGCACACTGAGCCCCTCGACAAGTCTCTACTTAAATGGTGGAGGCAGGCGACGAGTTTTAAACGTCAGATACTTACGCAAAGTATCAGGCTTCAACTCAACTGATACACATCAGGGGAATCCTGTGTGGAGCACAGGACGTTCTTCAGAGGAGACGAGGACACAGCTTATCTTGTCAAAGTCGTTTAAGCAGTCAGTCATGTGGAGAAAAAACTACTACATCCAAGCTACTTGTAGGTAAAAAGTACAATTGTATGACAACATATGTGGTGGGACGGGGGGGGGGGGGGGGGATAAGTATCTGTCAGTTGTCAGACATTCTGCAGAACCCCCTGCACGGAACAGCCTTATAAACATGAAATAAACACAGAGTGCTGCTCGTAGTATCCAGGCTACAGGACAAAAACACATTTAACATCTGTCTCACAAATATTTCCCATCCACTTAGACACAAAGACAAACAGACAGGGCAGAGTGATAGCAGGATGGCTGCAGACAAACAAAGATGCTAAGCAGGCAGAGAAAAACTGTAAAATGGCTATTAGACTGGCGATTAGTCTGGCTGGCTTCAAACACTCAATCTCTCATCACTATTTACATCAAACAGAAAGTAAAGGAAGGGATGGACTACTACAGAGACAGAAAGGGAGGAAACAATGGAGGAAGTAAGCCAGTAGCATCCCCCCGTTTGTGTATTTGTGAGTATTTGAGTGTGAGGGCTTTGGGGTGTGTTTGTGCTCGTCTGTATCTACACTGACCTCGAGTTTCCAGCCCCAGGAAACACCTCCCATTGTCGTCCTTATTGCAATTCTCCCCCTCGTCTTCCTCCCCCCTCTGCCTCCCTGTGTCAGAGCCTTCAGGGAGCAACTGAAAACTTGTTACAACCGTTTTAAGTTGTTCTTCTCCTTGTACAGGGCTGCAACGATTGGTTAATGTTAATTTTCTTTTGTGCTCACAGAGATGTAACGTTGAGTGTGTGTGTTTGTTTGTGTGTGTCTGTGTGAGAGACCTTTTGTGGTGATGGCTTGAGAGAAACAGACAACCTGTCATGCTTTATGATCCTGTTTGGGCTGTGTGCAGGGCCCAAAGCACCAACAACACACACACACACACACACACGACACACAGCTACAGCCAGACATCTATCACCCCGACAACATGTACATATTCAGTGCAGTTTAAATATTCCCATGGGCTGATAATACCTCAATGCGTTCTCTGTTCTCCAATGAGGTACGAAAAGACGCTTGAGCTTTACGAACATCAAAATCCTAAAAATGCTCATAATGTTGACATCAGACTAAATCTGTGCAGTTTTCAACAAGAAAGACAGAAACAAACATTTAACGTTGCGTCCATGAAGCTGTGAGAGATGTAGAGAAATGTAAAATGACTACATCACCACTGGCAGAGTCTGAAAACCAACTTGGCAGCTTGCCTAATGTACACTGGTTAATAATCTTGCACGTTGTTATGACACCATTGTCTGGTGACCCTCTTTAGCTGTAGATTCATGGCCACTTCTGTCACAGAGCTTTTAGTGAAATGACAAACTATGTGCAAGTTCTCACTCTGCACTGGCACAACACAACGTCTGGAAGTGAGATTAAAGCCAACGTCTGTCAATTTACCGCTAATACACACAGCAGAATGATTTTCACACGTAGATTGAACAAGCTCTTGAGATTTGATCCCCTTCTGCTGATGAGGAAGAGCAGCTCTGGATGTCAGCAGGGAACATGATCCTCCTGCTTGGATGAGGAAGACACCCAGAGACGAGGAGTCAAACTGAAAACCATCAGAAGCGGTTCACGCAGCGTGCAGCCGCACGGTTTCATCAATCCTCAGATTACAAACAAACAAAAAAGAAACGATCTCAGGTAAATGAAGTGGGTTTGCACATGTTCTTCACTGACCAGGTGGCAGACACCCATTAAGAAAACCCAATACTGCAAAATATCGACTTACTTGGAACTCTGTTGATCGCCCGCAGTGGCCTGAGCACTCGGACGGTACGGATGGCTGACAGACTGGCGTTGTGACCATCCAGAGAGTACTCCATCACCCTGAAGTCAGAGAAGGTCAGAGATTTAACTCAAGTTCTGTGCTTTGTATGAAGAAAATTGAACTTGTGTACCGTGTGTGTGTGCACGTGTGATTAATCGTTGGCTTCCATGCGTATTTACGTCATCATCAGGGTGAAATGAAAGGGTTTTATTATGCTAAGCAGACGACTATTATCTCGCTGCAGATGACTTGTGGGAATGAGTCAACAAAGCATTGTGGGAGATACGAACCCTGCCATGACAATGACGAAGTCAAGCTGGTTCCACTTGTCACCAAGGTAACAATTGGGGCCGAAGATTCCCAGGGCCACCATCTTGATGACCATTTCCACAGCAAAGAAAGCGAAGATGCAGTCGTCCAACACCTGGTATCACACGATGGTAAAAAACAAACAGTCAGAATTCAAGTTAACTTCCTGCCAACAGAAAATGTTCACGTCGTTTTCTAGTTCCCTCATCGACACGGTCGCATTATGAAAGAAACTGTGACAGCGAGAGAGTGTTGTTGTCTCCATTAGTTAGTTTCATCCCAGCAGGGAATCGCTCTGGTTATGGCTGTGTCTCCATTAATTAAACATGTACCACGGCAAAAAGAACATCTGTATTAATGAGCACGTCAACGTGAGTGACGAATCAACAAGACTTTACAAAAAGAGCATCTGGAATCAAATGAGAAAAGACAATATTACCATTAATTTAACAACTGGACTTTATAGTGTTATTTTTCTCTCAGTCAATTCACATGAAACTAAAACTGAATGTGAAATCATCCCTTGGTATAAAGGAAACATGTAACTTATTATTACATCTTATAATCTGTGTACATATTTGACCAGGGTGCTGAAATTAGAAATAAATTGTTTAACACTTGTTTAGAACGTGAGAACGCACAGGCTCAGAGGCTCTGGACCAGCCAGCCAGCCCCCTGATAGAAAATCTGGATAATGTCTGAATGAGCCAAACACAGCACGAGATCCTCCAGAGAATATACTGTGAGTGAGTGGCTGCGACTTTTCAAACACGCGATGAACGCTAAACAAAAAAAAAATAAAGTAAAGAAATATACAACATATCAAAAAATACTAAATACAGATATAAAAGAAAATACAAATAGTGACAAAGGAGGAAAAGACACAGAAGAAGATTTGGAAAGATTTGAGAGCGGTTGGTGATACCGACAGCGTAGACGTGTTGTAAACACATCTCTTGCATGCTGTGCCAACCTTCGCCCCTGAACGCTTCAGAGATTTCAGTGTTGTAAACACATCTGAACGGAGAATCGCCTGCTGCGCTCTTAATTTGTAAAAACAAACTCCAGAGACAGTCTGGACCCCACTGTGCAGACATTCACTGGATTCCTGTCTAACTCTTCAAGATGATAAAGTACTAAAATTATACATTTAAATGATTTGACCAGATCTTAAAATCTGGCTTCATGAACTATTCTAGGTATATTCTAGTTATACTTTTAGTTTATATGAAGCATTTGGATACTGTAAGAAAAATGTCTATGTATCCTGCTGGATTATTGTGACCAAACCTATCCCACACTATGAGAGGTAAGATCATGTCCTAATGAGATCAGGGACAGGCCTGGAGGGAAGACTAACCTGGAGGATGCGACACCACTCTGCCTGGCAGTTGACGTCTTCACAGGGCTGGAACATCCCCAGAGTCACACAGTTGAGCAGGATCACCAGCATGGACACATGCTCGAACCACGTGCACGAGAGAGTTAAGGTGGAAACGTACAGGATGTGATTTCAAATCAGCAACGACACAGGAGAGAGGTTAACTTACTTAACAAAGGAAGCAAAACACATAAGAAAAGCTTTATGTCAACTGTTTAATCCTGGGTGACATTCAATGAGCAGCGTGATCAGGTCCAAGCCTCGTACGTGGCGATACTGCCGGTGTTTCAGTGTCATCCACCTGAGGGAACGCTAGAGAACGCTCACAGAGGGAGGCAGCAATAATCTGAGCTCCAGGACACAAAATACTAAAATTTTATGTTCAATCCCAGTTTACATTGGGAGAGAGGCAGGGTACAACCTGGACAGGTCGGCAACAGTGCCAACATACAGAGACAAATGAAAATTCACAGACACATGAATGGTCAATGAGGAATCTTAAACGCAATCTGCAGTCTTTGGACTGAGGGAGGAAGCAGAAGTACCCGGAGAACAGCCACACAGACGTGGAGAGAACATGCAGACGACAGGGCCGCCCCTGTTTTATACAACTAAACTAGAATAAAAGTTTACGAGAAAAACGCGAGAAAACAAAAGCTGCACAAACACACTGGCATCACATGACGACAGGAAGTTTTGTTTCAGCCTAATGCACTTAATGGGTCGAGTAATTGGCTGCTCGTCTTGATTACAGGCCTCTCTACTATTTCACAAATAAACATTTTAATGGATTTGAATGGATCCATGTCTACTGCTGAGTATCCTGCTGTGGTGTTTGCTAATATCGATTCATGATAGAAGTACATCCTCAAGAAACGAGGCTGGAGCATCACAACGATGGAAGGGGGTTTTATAATCCTACATATTTGTGGCCGTTAATTGACGGACTGGAAAAGAGAAAAGTATCTTTATGAGTGAATATGAAGTCTGAACATAATTTCCACATAAAAACACCTTTTCATCCATTTTTGACAACGTTTAGTATTTTCTTTTCCATTCAGTTTCTAACACTCTCCCGATTGGATGGAGTCTTAACAGCGTGACCTCATCTGTGCCTCACTGCACGGACATGGAGAGATATTTGAAAGAGTGACACCCTCTCTACTGGAATTCTTTCAAGTGGATTTAAGCGCAGCGATGGCACCTAAAACTACATCCTCATTACTACTGACGAAATGGAAGATGGCAAATCTGACAGGCCGCTGGAAGCTCCACAGCCCCACCACGACACTCATTATGAGAACATGCAGCTGCACTCTCACTGCTAACAAATTTATAAAATCTGTTTCAGCATAATGAAACACCATTAATCAAATCAGACTGTAGACACTCGAGACAAGTGATAAAATACATGTGGACATATGGTCACAGTGAGACAAAAAATATGACACAATATTAATATCAGTATATTCAAGAGGAAGGAGAGAGGATGAGCGATAGGACGAACAACAGCAGGAATGAAAGAACGTCTCCTCGATTAGAAAAAGGAACTGATGCTGCTTTTTCTGTTTTACTTTGGCTTCTGTCCCTGACACACACACACACACACACACACACACACACACACACACACACACACACACACACAAACACACACACACACACTGAAGTCTCCAGAGGAGAGTAGTGTTCTCATTAGAAAGGGAGGTATAGCAGAAAACAAATGGTGACCGCTGACTTCTACATTATTCATGCAGAGAGACATACATATAGACTCACAAAACCAACACACAATATTCAGATTACATTTTGTTGCATTCACATACACACACACATTTGGGACTAACTCCTGTGATCAGGGGCCAACACAAGAGTTTGTATCAGCGGAAAAGTTTGAATTAAAACTTTTTTTTCCTGAACCGACTGCGACCTGCTGCAGTCACGTCTAAAGATCTCTCCACCTTGAATTACCTGGCAGCCACAGCTGCAGATTTCCTATGGATCCGTTCAACATAACTGATGTAACTGAATACATGCAGTTTATTATATCCCCTTGTCCTAACCCCCAGTTTCTGAACAAAGATCCACGACAGCCTCTGCTCTGTTCCCGCAGATACTGTCCATCCAGCGCTGCAGAAACTCATCCAAGCAGAATCTCACATACTTGCTCAACTTTGACATTTATCTCTCGTTTCTCACAATCTGATGTTATCGTATCATATATTGAGGGAAACTGGGATGTCTCCTGGGGACAAAACATTATCTCAGACCGTGCACCAAGATCCCACTGCAATGGTATGCAACAGCTGGATATTTAAGAAGCAATTCTACTGTGGGAGGCAGAAAGAATGCAAACCCTGAGGATTGTCCTCTGGAGACACAAAAACCAGGGGCATCTTTGACCATTTCATTGAGCACAGTATGTGAAACAGGTCAACTGTGGCAGGCGGTGGAGGATATGAGGGGCAGTGCAGTTCAGAAGATGCGTTCACACAGGGAGACATTAGGGCTGTTGTTTGTTTTCTACCTTTCCAGTTGACAAATACGTTAGACTTGTATTTAGCCATCACATCTGTGTAAAACATGTATAATGATGCCCTCAGGGGAGTAAGCAATAAAAGACTGAGTTAGGTTATAATGCATTGTTGTGAATATTAATACAAATACAAAAACACATTTTCAATCACACGGAAAATGCCTTGAGCCAGTCTGTCGCTGTACATACTTCAAACAGACACACACACACACACACACACACACACACACACACACACA